GCGCTATGTTCGAGAGCGGAGATGTGCGTCCTTTTGTTGAATTACCTTGCTTGCAGTGGCGTATCTACACCTAAAATCACATTATTTTGCGAATTAGCGCCTCTCAACTGATCATCGAGCCCCCCTTCACCTTCGTGCCCCCCCCCCCCCCCCCTCCATGTTCAATCGACATAAACCTATGCTGTGTGCATGCGCAGTTCTAACTCTGTCTCTTATACACATCTAGATGTGTATAAGAGACAGGAATTTCATTTAATGTTAATGTATTAACAGACGCATACGTCAAATACTACATCATCGACGTTTTTTACTTTCATTGTAGCATTTATTTGGTGATGTTTATCTTGAGTGGCCTTGAATTGCTTGGAATCGAGATGGTTTGTCACAGAATGAATTTTCGAAATGATACAATGTCATGTTATCATGTTCATAAAGTTTATTTTGTTCATAACGTTTATTCCGAGCTTCGCTCTCACGCCTGTTCTGTTTGCTCCGTCTTGGTAGGCACTGTAAACCACCTGCATGGTTCCCCTTTCCGTCGGACACACACCTGCCGGCTCAATGTAAATATCTCGTTTACCAGATTCATCGTACATCCGTGGCCATTAGCTGTCGTCTTTAAATCACCAGAACAATAGCTATGTGGGTCCCACTGTCTCCCGTGACATCGAACTATCTATAGATTGAATATAAATCGTTTTTTTAAGATTTTTACACTCGTATGAAACATCAAGAAAGGTTTGTCACACCGGGCACACACAGCGTCGCTCGTTGACGGTCGGCTGACGAATTTAGCGCTTGACGATGTGACGCCGTCTGCTGATTGTCGGTGGCAGAACTTTGTGCGTATCGTCGCTGAAATCGATTCGTCACGCTCGTCACGTTACGGTCACTACAGAACCGCATCGGCCGATCGCCATGTGAGCCCGGATTTTCATATATGTTTATAGCTCCTTTATATAATCACTAGATAATACTTATTATGAACAAAAAAAAAAACTAGGGATTGCTTGTAATCACTGTCTCGACAGTACTTTTAATGAACTACACCTATGACATACATAAATATACACACACCAGCGATACCAAGGAAAGATAGACAAGGTAACTGAAGATGATGATAAAATGTAGGCCGTGTCGACATCTGAATTCAAATTCAATATATTTTTCATTGGTAATGACGCAAACATGAAGGCACCGAATGTGTGTGTGTGTAACTTGATTGACATTTTATGCAGTGTTTAGCTTATCAGTTTGTTCATTCCATGTGTGATTTACTATTAGCCTAAATTTAATGAGTTGGCCTACTGTATGTCAATGAGATGAAGCTTCTAAAAACACCATCGACCACCGCCGCTTAGCTTTCTGTGGGCCCCCTATCGACCTAACATTTACGTTTAATGTGATTAGCCAAGCTGCTTAGTACATCTTTTAAATGAACTATAATTTGTTTTACAGACATATTGTTTTACCGTTACCGCATCACGTTATCTCGTCAAGTGAAAATTGGCCTACTTTGTCTGGGTCCAATAATAAATCATATGAAGTTCAGTTTCGTATGGAGAACCTCGTCAATGTCGTATATAAATTTTAATTCTGTATTTGGAGAACTTCTTCAACCTAGGCCTCCACTCCATAAAACATATTTGGAATTAATAGAAAATTTAGGAGTTTCATACAATGGTCAAATTGTCCTTTCATTGACCCCATAACGAATTTAACCGACGCTGTTTTGATATTAATCTTTCTAATAATAGACCGACCGGTACTTTATTTCCGGCTTTCCTTATACCGGACATTTTTCAATGGTCAGTGATTTGCATCCGGGAATATTATACAAACTCGAAGTCCGATATGGAATTAAAGATTAGCTGGTCAAACGGTAATTTAAATTCAAATTAAAAGTTATCTTTCAAGGCAAAACGCATACTAATAGGCCTAATTAATAAGTCAATTCGTAGTTTGAACTGCGCATGCCCGTATCCATGTTCAATCGACATAAACCTATGCTGTGTGTATGTACTGCGCATGCCCGTATCCATGTTCAATCGACATAAACCTATGCTGTGTGTATGTACTGCGCATGCCCGTATCCATGTTCAATCGACATAAACCTATGCTGTGTGTATGTACTGCGCATGCCCGTGTCCATGTTCAATCGACATAAACCTATGCTGTGTGCATGCGCAGTTCTAACTACGAATTGGCTAATTAACTAATCATCTGGGACAACTAATCACTGAGATGCGTCGTTTTGTTCAGATTTAAGTTGTCAATCGATTTTGGTAAGAGGTTTGAAGACAGCACGGACTTCAATGTGTCAATGGAAAGCTGATAACTTTGCGATAGTTCAAAATGTGCAATAAATAACTTGTTTTATTAAGTTTTTAAAGTTTAGGCCACAATGGTGCTGAAAAGCTTTTGTAAATAAAATGTCACATTCTGTTTCTCGGTTTATTTATTTTGGCAAACATGTTATAATTACAAATTACTATCTTATAAATATTCTCCTATTATATAGGACTATATTATTCTCACCTCGCATCCACAATTTCTTTTGTAATAGCGACTGATTGCCAGTCGCTGTTCGGGTGTAAGCCGCTTCCATTCGTCAATCCAACTGCAGCCGCTGAGGAAGTTTAGATAGCCTTCAACAAATGGATTCTGATCCCGTTCGAATAACCAGGAACAATGACTGTATTCCATCGGGATACTAGAGCGATGGACAAAGCCTGTGCACAATGTATTATAGACAGTGTAAATAGATGAAAGTTACGTAATACTTATGCGATTTTCATTAGGCAAGCTTACTAGGCCTATTACGACAATACATTAGGCCTAATGTGCATTCTCGGAAGATAGGTTCTTAACGGTATGAGTTATAGACTACCACTTCGATTGAAGATGTCTCTCGAACACAGGAAATGATGATGCCGCCGATGATGATGATGATGATGATGATGATGATGATGATGATGATGATGATGATGATGATGATGATGAAGATGAAGATGATGGTGGCGATGATTAATGGTGATGACGATGATGATAACTACCGATTACAGTTCGTTGATTAGTGTTCTTAGATTTATCTATGGGGGTAGCACTACAATGATAGATGATGTCATTATCGGTGACGTTGCTGTCAAAGTTAGGCTACTGTCTATGTAATTGTCATCAATTTCGCTAGGCTATACACATGTATTATTTATTTACCTGTCTCGATCACCTGGAAGGGTTTCTAACCTCACCCGTCGACCATGCGATATATAACGTAGGCCTTCATTGATATCACTTTAACCCCGATGGTGGCCAAGGTATTCGGGTATCAATTTTGCAAATCATTTTTGGTGATTTATAAATAATCTTATGTATATTTATTTTTTCACTTGAATTGATACGGCTAAAATACAGCCTGCTATAAGATGTAAACATGCTATGCCAAAAAGCTCATATTGAAACCTACCTCTAGCATAGGCCTCAGAACTGAAGAGCCATTAAGCAAGGTCGTAAAGATACAGAATTTAATGACAGGTAGTGCGTATAAACAGACGGTAACTCTCACCTGTCAGAACATATGTCTTTCGCGCCTTTTTTCTTGACATCAAGTTTGTGTTGGCCGTCGTAAAGACTTCTGTTTCGGAGTTTTCGTCGACATACTCGAACCCCTTGTAAACGTTTCTAACTGCGACCTTGAATATTGTACCCATCTTGATTACGTCATAGTGTCCAAATGTTACGTTTAAAGATTCGACGTCACCGATATCCTCAAGCAACTGACCATTTGACGAGTTGTAGGGAACTTGACGAGAACTTAATATTCGGCCTCTTACAACTGTGGACGAAAATAACTCATGTCAATACTATAAATCAAACGTAGCATTCATATTTGAATAACATGTGAATATTTTTATCACGCAAACATTAAGTGCACTTACAATGTTTTATATTTACTAGACCAATCCAGACTCTGGAGGAAAATTAATTTTAAAAATTGTGTACATAGGCCTATATGAATATGCTAAGACATTGAAAGGGTGTTTGAAAAAATAATCGGGAAAGGCTAATAAGATACACATGGGCATGTATAAAACAGGGGCGGCGCTAGCGGTGGCTCCAGGGGGACAATGGACCCCCGTCGGGGACCTCTTAACCACCCACCTGGAACCCCCTGTCGGAGAATTTTCAGCAGGGTCGTCGGGGACCGCTTAATTTGGCCTGATTTTCTTATTTCCATATTTAATTTAAGGTGTAAAAATATTCCCAATTTTTAAAATGCTCCACATTATTCAGATTATACGCATGAAATGTGACACTTTTTAAAAGATTCGTCCACATCGGTTACCGATTTTTAAAATGGTCGATACTGCTTACGGTATCAGTTTATACGCTTGGAATGGGACCACATTTTAGAAGATTAGCCCACATGAGTTATATTTATGTAAAATGGCTTCTTCCAATTTTTAAAATGGCCCACATTATTGCGTTTATACGCAATAATGGCTCCACCTTTTAAAAGGATTATTAGGTTTTCACAGGGGTGGCGCCAGCGGGGGGGGGGAGAAAAAAATTTATATGTATTTTCTACATATTAGTAGACTCCAAAATCAATTAAATAATCCTTTGAAACCCCCTAAATTGTCAAAATTTTCGGGGGCTTCGACCCCTTGACCACTTTCGAAACCCCCTCCCCCCGTCAGGCAAATCCTGGCGCCACCCCTGGTTTTCAGTGTAAAATGGGTCCAGATTTTTAAAATGGTGTACATTATTCAGTTTAAAAGCATGGATAGGTCTACATTTTAAAAGATGGGTCCGAATAGTTAGATTTTAGAGTAAAATGGGTCCCAATATTTTATGGTCAACATTATGGAGTTTATACGCATTAAATGGGTCCAGATTTTTATAATGGTCCATATTATTCAGTTTATCGCATGCAAAGGTCTACATTTTAAAAGATTAGTCCACAATTAATAGTTACGGTACAGTAGATTTTAGTGTAAATGAGTCAACATTTTTAAAATAGTCCTCATTATTTAGTTAATATGCATAAAATAGATCCACATTAGTCAGAATATCTTCATCATCTCCGATGGATCCATATATTTTACGCAAAACCTAAACACCGCAGGTAATAATAATAATAATAATAATAATAATAATAATAATATAATAATAATAATAATAATAATAATAATAATAAGGTAAGAACTTATATAGCGCCATTTAAAAAACCGAAGTGATTATCAGTGGCGCTTCATGTTATTGTTGGAATAAGTGCGTTTTGAGTGATTTTT